GCGGGCCGGTGTGATGGCAGACTTCTTGGTTCATGGCTGTAGGCGCTGGCGCTCGCCGCGGGCCCGTTTGATGGCAGACCTCTTGGTTCATGGCTGTAAGCGCTGGCGCTGGCTGCGGGCCGGTGTGATGGCAGACCTCTGGGCGCACGACTGTAGGCGCTGGCGCTGGCTGCGGGCGCAAAGCCGTAGGCGCTCGTGCTGGGCTTGTTGGCAAGCCCGTAGACTCCTTGAATCGAAGTCGGTGCCACTGTCTGGGGAGAGGAAAGCTGGCGCACGCCTGAAAACGAGACCCCCAGCCCCTGCACGTGTTTTGTTACTAGTCTGAGGGACTCCCATGAGGACTCCTGGAGTCAAGGAGAGAACGGAAAGTGCGCTTCGAAGAAGTACTTCGAAGAGGTGCACTTCGAAGAAGTGCAGAAGTGCAACTCTCCTCATGCCCTTGCACAGGCTCAGCACCTGCACGGCTGCAAGGGATGCAGCTGTGAGCTTACCATGTTTGCAGGTGAGGACACCCCAGCAAAAAGCTGGCGGTGAGCTGGCATGGGACTTGAGACCGCAGTTGGGGGTGGACTTCGCGCATTGCCCGCCTCAACCTGCACGTCGTTCAACGGAAGCTTGAGCAGCCATAGCTGTTTCCCTTTGAGACATTACACAGGCCACAGGCGAGCCATGAAGTGTCTTTGACATTGCTGCGCCATAACAGACTTACCCTGACTGTCGGTGCGGGCATCCCCGACTGGAGAGGGAAAAGCTGGCGGCGAGCTGGCATGCTTTGACCAATGAATGCCCCTTGCATGGGGCTGGAGAACGCAGTTGTAAATGAATGTTGCGGGTTGTCCACCTGACCCTGCACGTCACATTCACACACGTGGTTAGGTTAGTTTTAGGGCTTTAGGGTCACAGTCACATGTGGAGGACGAGCTTGCCTCTCTTGCGTGAGATTCTTACAGTGTTTACACTGTCAACAGTTGATAACGTCAACACACTTACCATATTGGTGGGCGAGGGCATCCCTGTTGGAGAAGGTAAGGACATCCCTGTCTGAGTGAGGGGGGGTATCCCTAATCGGCCAGGAAACGCTGGTGTCTGCTGCTCAGTGAAGAGCTCTTGCATGGGATGAAAGCCTGTGTCGCCTCGCTTCTGATTGTCCGCTTGCCCCTGCACGGAATTACAAAGAGTCTGCCGGGTTGCCAGATGGCACATCTGCCTTGACTAGCTTCGTTGAAACTGCTGATTCCTCCTTGCATTCATGTAAAGAAAGTCTGCTTACAGACTTACCCCGTGTAACATCTGCTGATTTGTTGTTGAACTGTCAATCCCAGCTGTATCCTCCAGGTTCGTGTCAGCCCCCTCTTCCTGTACAGAGTTTCAAACAGAGACACCACTCAGCTGCAGTAGTGGTGCAGCTCCGCACTGCACCGCATAAAAACCACAAGACAACTCCTGGTTGGAACAACCTCTGGACAGTCACAGCACTAGGTGAGGTGGCGCTAGGCGAGCAACCCGTGCACCTTTCAAGCTTTCAAGCCAAAGAACCAAAGGACTCACGATGAGGAGGCTCAGCAGATCAAAGTCCCCACCCTGACCCGCCTCATCTCCAGCGTTGTGCTGCATCAAGTAGGAAGCTTCCCATCATCCCACGCTCTGGCTCTTCGTAGGAAGCAAACTTTCCAATCATTGAGCAACTCTGAACCAACCATGGGAATTGAGAGCTGCATTGTACTCACGTTGAAAGGACTGGTGACTTCGTCTCCATTAGGGCTTGGTGGCAGGCAATCCTCCTGCAAGCGAATCAGGCCATCAGGCTTCCAAGCTTTGTAGCAAGGTTGCTTTGCTGTTTGTGGCGGATCCCGGGTCCCCGAAAATGGTACATAGAGCCCAGAATCCAATCCAAGGAAAACCCTCTCCCTTTCCCTACTCACCAGCAGAGGCCCAGCACCACTCTTCCTTAAGGAAAGTGGGGCCATCAGGGCAGCTGCCATAAAAGTCAATGAAATTATGGCTCCACTGCACAGCCCCTATAGACAAGAAGCAACGACAATGAAGGCAACCCTTTTCCTACGCTCCCCATCAGCTTCAGACTGATCAAAGCAATCAATGCAAAGCCTCTCCCTTTCCCTACTCACCAGCAGAGGTGACATCTCCCTAGCACCATTTCCTCCTTGTTGCTGCAGACCAGGAAATGGGGCCATCAAGCCAGTAGTCGTGCGATTCAAGAAATCATTCCGCTGGACAGCCGCCAGATACAAGAAGCAGCGACAAACCAAGGCAACCGCTTTCCTACTCACCAGCAGATCGGCCAGCAGCTCCCCACCACCTTCAAACTCCTGCGCAACCTGTTGTCCAAGCTGAAACATATCATGGCCATGACCGCTGCCATGGTACTGCAGGATCAAAAGCAATCAAGCATCAGTATTTCCACTGCACCTTGTGGGAAGCCACAAGCCTCGACAGAAAACCCCAATCAACATAATGGGAGACGCACGCTGAACTTGGGAGCAAGAAGGCACTGAGTGGGACTCACAAGGGCTTCCCACAGCAGTATCTCCTCCTTAATGTTTACATGGTCGTCGTCGGCCATCGAATCTTCCTAAAGATTGTGAGATCCTTTTGCTGGCGCATCATCCCTTCCTTTTCATCGAGGTCAACTCCAGAACTTTGGGGCGATTCAGAGAGACGCCAATGTGACACGATTGGTGGATAAAAGGCTGCCAGAAGGCGCACGCGGAAAGTAGGAGGACCGGGGATTCGTCCCTGTATCAAGTTCCAGGTCTGAAAGTAGCATCCCCGAGCACCAAAGGGTACCCGCTCGGCCATATCTGCCATTTAGACCCCAGCGCCTGGCAGCGGCCACCTGCCTTTATTCGGCCAGACAAACGAAAGGGCGGGAAGCAGTTCGATTGGGTGGGGACTTACGTCATATGTAGTCATACTCCGTGCGCCCACTTCTCCACATGGCCTGAACGGACAGACCGCAGGCCAGGCCTCCCCGCTAAAGGTTTTGAGGGTCGACAGCCGCCCATTCTGCTCCGGCGAAATCTCTTAGTTCTCCGAATCTTCGCTAAAGGTTGCAACGCAATTTTCGGGATGCTTATTATGGAGGCAGCGGCGCTCTCTCAGTCGCGGGGCACCGCCAACAAGCATGGCGCGGGTTTGGCGGCGGACCCTGCCGGTCACAGCGGCTGAGGGCCTGAGTGTACATCCGCGTGGGCGTGCGCGCTTAAAAGGCGGGCGACTGCCTCAGCACGCATACTGCACGTCGCGTGCCAGCTCACGGGCGGCGGGCTCTCTCTTGCCGCGGCGCACGCCGCACGGGTGCAGAGCAGAGCTGCATGTGTGGTCCCCTTGGTGGGTCCATGGTGGCCATTCAGGACGCTTGGAGGCTGGTCACTATGGAGATGGAGTCGTTGCATCTGCTCGCAAACTTGAAACAATCTGGACGAGACATGGCAGGCTCGAGTATAGAACTAGGCTGCAGCCTTCAGGCCGATCGCGTACCGTCAAGCCACGCGATGAGTCGACCTTTGGCACGTGGACCCGCGCGGTCCCGCGATGGCCCCGCGGCCCATGTGAGGTGAGCGGCCCCCGCAAAGCATTAAGCGTAGCGCTTGGGCATGCGACGGGACCCTTTATCGTTACCGGTGCGCGGCCGCCTCGGCCGGCGACCGACGGACGAGATGCGGTTTAGGCGGCCCATGCACACTATTGGGAGGGAAGAATCGTAAATAGAAGGGAGTGTGAATAAGATGA